GTCATGTTGGAACAGAGTAAGAAGCGTAAACTTTAGGGTTCTTGAAGTAGCAATGTCTGTCCTTTCAGAACACAATTGACAACATCCTTATACACAAATGATTCAGTTCCAAAACCCACAGTCGGTTCGAGTTTTAAACCATGGATCCTCGGTTCGATCAGAACACACACATCTCGTCTCACAGCACATGACCGGTCCTATAAGGACTCAAAACCCGGTCCTGTGTCGATGTTCTCAACCAGGATCTGACTTGGATGCTATCCTCATGACTGAGCGCATGCAGTCCGACCCCCAAAAGCACTCATACCCCCTGGCAGGGCCTGCCCTGCCCACGGCAGGCTGGGCAGGACCTTTGGTGGTGAAAGGGTGAGTTTGAGAGACTCCTGGCCCTCCCAGTGACCATGATCCAGCTCATGACCTATCACGTCTGTTGAAAGAAACCCAATTCGATCGATGTCACTGAGCCTCTTGGATGGTGGAATCGACATGCAATTTTAAACTTAACAAGGTCTTTTGCAAAATACGACCAACAAACAGCCTTTCGATTGAAAGGATTGATTGTGAAAGTGACCAAGTTCCAGGTATATATAAAGATTACAAAGCTGACTTCAATCGTCCAGCAAAAGCCATGCGATGGAAATCCCAAGGAACCTGTGTGGTACGGAAAATCCCACCGGACCTGAACCCGATCGTTAACGAGCGCCGATGCTGCTGACTCGTGATTCACCATCATTCGATAGAGATACGTCGGAAATGCATGCAAAATTCTATATATTACTAATTCAACTGCATGCCCCTTCTCACCACCATCCAACGAAAAACCTGTAACCATCTGTAACCTGTGGACATATCTGCTCAAAGCATCTCAAAGCTCTGCATCCAATGCCAATGACCCGAGCTGACATCCAAATCTGCGGGTAGACCCAACGATCCACTCAGGACGCCATCGACCCTCCAACGACCCTCCACCCGTCGTCCTTCGGTCGGATCCTTCGGGTGTCAGACCAAACATCTCTGTTTCTCTTTCCAGCTCAGGTGCGCCAGCACCCACCAAGCCCAAGTAGGAGACATAGGCGCCAGAAACTCGAGCTTGTAAAACCCGATCCTTCATCCTTGGACATGACTCTCTGAAGCTTACAGTAAACAGTAAACACCTCTTTTTTGTTGGAAACTGCTGGATGTTGGGGATTGGACCTGGGTCCGGCGGATGATGGTACTATTAGCAAACCTTTAGCAAATCCAGTCAAAAGCGCCGTCCAAAACGGTCTTCGAATGTCTTCCTGCTCCTTTCTCGGGTCGTTCCCATGGTGTCCCAGGAGCTCCACGGGGTAGCCATTGTGCTTGGCCACCCAAAAGCGCCAGCCTCACTTCGGCATCGCGCCAAGCGCGGCCGGTTCCGGGTGGGTCGCTACCGTCGGGTAAGGCCTCGTCCAAACCGGAGGACCATCCGAAGAGAGAGGTTCTCCCATGACCAAACAGTCTTTGCCTTCTGAACATATCCCAAACAGTGTTAAGCCGGAACGATCGAAACAAACAAACATCAAGAATAACCACACGGTTTGAGGAAGCAAAGGAAGGTATTGCTGCCAATGCGTTCTGTCAGTGAAATACTTTGCTCGTGACGCTTTCGAGATGTCAAACGGGAAAAGTTTCAGAGATCCAAACTTTGTATAGTATATCAGTGTATAGTGGATTGAGAGCAAATGCCACAGTCCCCCCCATCTAAAAGCCACCTCAGGGCTTGTGCATGCTTGTGCCATATACCCCACTGCACATGAATTGTCCATGCAAGTCCTCTTCAAAGGTCATGTGCCTACAATCTTCGCTCATCTGGGGATCATCTTCATGTCCCTCCCACTCTGGCCGGGCAGCGGTCCATGTGTGCAAGGCATGCTGCCTGCGAGTGAGCATGGTTGATCCATCTCGAGCGCACACGGAATTCATTTGTTCACGCTGGCTTTGACCTCATCACGTGAAATTTTCTCCCCCTTGATCAACCGTAGATTCTTGGATGTATATAGAGAATAAAGGCCAAGTCTTGACTCTTTCCAACACCAATCACACTCCTCAACTCGACGGCAAGGGCCACAGCACCTCGTGAACACGCCCATCCATATCCAGGTCCACGGCTGCCACGATGCTTTGGTGAGACCAGCAATTCACTGGGACTTCTCCGATACGATCCTGACCGGCAGAACCAACGCCTTTCAAGGCCCACCACCGCCATGGGAGGGTTTAAACGGACGTTTCGCACATCTACGCTAGCCGCTACGTCCTTCAGTCCCCCATTCGGAGGTCCCGGGAGGTCATTGGAGGGAAATCCTGTGCTTCTCGCTTAGTCATTGAGCCACAGAATGTCTGAGAAGGGAAATGGCGGGACATCTGTCAGAGGACTTTGAGGGACAAAACCGTCCATATCCAAACATCCCCGGAATGTGCTGGACAGCATGTATGCATCATGATCTGGCCCAGTCTCCCAAAAGTACTTATGTTCGTCCTGAAACTGTCCACCTGAAACAGTGACAAAACCATAGGATCATCCATACTGTCCATACTCAACAATGACATTAAGGACAACCTTCCTTCACCCTGCCCGGGCAGGCGCAGTGAACCTTCACAGCCACATACAACTACTACACATGTCAGTGCAGATGAGCTCAAACACTTTGCAAACGTGAACGCAACAAATAGTCCGGTTCATTGGTGTACAAGTACCTCCATTACACACAGGATGAATACCACATCCTTGGTGAGTCGCTGGAACCTCTCCAGGACAGTTCTTATCTCTGGTTTTAGAATCAGGGACACTGTCCAGATTTGGCACATTTTGGCACGGCAAATAAAAACAGTGGCTGTGGTCGTGCGTGCATTTGAACAATCGAGTCCATGCTTCACAGAAAAGTGAGTTCAAACCAACAGTTTGTAGCAACAAGTACACCCCCCCAAACAAAAACACACACACAAAGCACAAGAAGATACCGCTTGCTATCCTGCAAAAATCGATTAGGCCTGTCAACCTGTGCCCGCAACCCATCCACTGTAGCCTTTGGGTCTTCAAGAGATCTGACCAATGGAGCGCCGTGTTGGGTGTCCCGCGAGGGCATCGCGAGCTCCTGCGGAGCGAACGCGACTTCTGCAGAACGTGCCGTGGCCGCAGCTGGCCTCCAAACCCCAAAAGAGCCCAAAAGCTTCACTTCTGATTAAAAAAACGACTATACTTCTATACATTGGTAGGCTATTATTATAGGATATTATAGGTAAGACTTCCAAACTCAAAAGAGCCCAACAGCTTCACAATCTCTTTTGTAGGCTATAGGTAAGACCTCCCACAAGAGCCCACAGACCTCCCTCTCGATGGGCCAGAAGTCGTTGAAGGCGACCACAGGGCACTATCATTCAGTGCCACTAGCGGACGTGGCTAAGGGTTGTTGTGTTCTGGTTCAATGCTTGTTCTTGTGGTTGAGTCTCAATTTCTCACGGTTTAATCACCTGCACCAAGCACCCCTGGTTTCGGATCAGTTTCCAGTAAGGTCCTCTAGGGTCACTTAACATCTCTTCTGCTTCCGGTCTCCACCGCTCCTTCGGTCACCGCTCCTTTAACTGGCTTCCCTTCGGGACATCCATCACCAAGCCGTGAGCGTCCACGAAGACCAAGGTGGCCCAAGCATGACAAAGGTCCACCTGGAGCGAAAAAGAGCTCAGCCTTGGTCATGTAGACTCTCAGAAATCCAAAAAATTACTAGTCACTAGACATGGATTGAACAACCTCCCTCAAGCTCAGGGGCGGGGGGTTGAAAGATCGTCAAGAGTCTACATTAGCTCTGACAGCCCTAAGAGGTGGTGAATTGCGCGACATGTTTTTGGAAGGGCATGTTAAGCCCAGATCAGGCCCCTGGATCTAAGAGGTGTTTGTTGGCACACCAAGGTGCAAACCTGGCAGTGTTTGCCCTGCACCTGGATACCAAGTACCCGCCCCCAGCATCCCCCAAGAAGACATGACATGCTTTCTGCAACTCTCTGATGCCAGCACAAGACATGCCAAGCCTTCAATATTCACATTATGATGTTGACAAAGGCTTTCTGGTCTTGAAGAGGCACACCAAGCAGGTGGGCGATTGTTGCCAAACAGAAAGCCAGGACATCCTAGATTGCAACAAAAGCTCGTCAAACGAGGTGATACCTTGTTACCTTAAGTGATCGCTCCCAAACATACAAAAATGAGTCGATGAAAGTTCCTGAAGGTATGCATTGCATTGAATAACCCTGATTCCAAGCATGGAGAAGCAAGGAAACTCTCCAAGTCCACTACCAGAAACTAGTAGAGAACACACAAACAAAGATCAACTACGTATATTTTATTCTTGGATGATCCCTTCAACACCGTCAACCTTGCCCCAAACACGGTGCCAAAGCACCGGTGCTTCTCCGTCTGGCCGCTCAGAGATGGTGTGGCCCACCACCACCGAATGAGGTCCCACCTGGCAAGTCCGGCACTGGCTCCACCAGTGGAATGGAACTGGACTCCACCTGTTAGTGTTCTTCGTTGGGGAGTTGGTAGACACTGGCAAAAAAAACCGCTGTTGCTGCACACCGGGTGAGGGTGTCAAAATGATAGTTGTTGGTGAATTTGAGATGATCCTTCGCACCAGTGCTGTTCTTGCCATTTCAGGTGAGAGAAAACCGGAGGATCGTGAGGACACGGGATTGAATGGTGCTTATAATAGAGTTTTCAAGTCTGGACATGTGTAGTCTGTTCAGTGAAAACTTATGGGATTTCCGCGCATTCCTGTTTCCAACAGTTTGCCGTACATGGTGAAACAAGTTCTTGTTGCATCAAACTCCGATTCCAACAGTGAAATCACCCCCGTAAGAAGGCGCTGGCAAGATCGTGGCTCTGCGGTCGATGAATTCCCGTCCGAAATGCGATGGTAATCGAATCTGCCGTCTGGGGTGAAGGACTCATCAGTCAGTGTGAAGTTTGGTCCAGCATGGCAAAAAGTGGAGAACATTCACTACTTGATGCCGCATGCCTCTGCATCAAACAATAGTGACTGCCCATAACCTAAGCCCCAGGCAAACCACAACTTGGCAGAATGTGCAGAAAAAATATCGCTACTTCATGTCCCTCCATCAAACAACGGTTACTTTTTTTCCGCAAGACTACCACTGAAAAAAGATGAAAAAAATACAGTAGTTCAAGCAAAAAACAAAAAGAACATCATCGAACCATACCTGGACCCTCCTGTCGGGGTGTCCTGGCTGGACTAAGACAGGGCACCCCGACAGGAGGGTCCTGGTATATTCACAGCTCAGGAAGTCCAACGCTCGCCATGACCTTCGAAGAGGCTTCGGCCTCTTCAAGCCAGGTCCGAAGCTCGTATTGCACCTCACACGGAGTGTGGGAGCACGTGCTCCCTGCACCGAAGACTCGGCACATGGGCCCTGAATTCACAAGGTTTCTGAGGAGGTACCCAGCTGAAAAAAGTCACAGGGGCCCAAAATCCACAGGCGCAGCTGGAGGGGTAAGGTATCAAAATAAAAATAAAAATAGAATCAAAAAAATATTCAACGGGGATCAATAAAAAAATAAAAAGGGAATCAAAAAAATATTCTAGCCCACTGAGGATGGTTGGGGTAGTAGTAGTAGCAGTAGCAGTAGCAGCAGCAGCAGCACCAGCGTAGCAGAGCAGTAGCAGCAGCAGCAGGAGGAGTAGTAGTAGTAGTAGTGGTAGCAGTAGCAGTAGTCACGGCGTTCACACGAAGTTAGGCCCTACATGGCGTTGTCAGAGCGCTCAGAGCAGAGAAGTGTTTGGAATGGGTGTAGCAGCATCGGAAGGTGCCTGGATGGGAATCGCCTCAGGAAAAAGATGTGGTGGACCAGTCTATTTCTAATGGGTGCATTGCGGTCGCAGCCGTACAGGGTCTTTTTCACCAAGCTGGTGAACCATTTTTCGAGTAGGGCTACTCAATGACTGGACGGCTACCTTATCGTTGGGTACCTACTTTCTTCCCAGGGAGCTGCCTCTAGTAGAAAGCAATCAAGCCTCTATTTGCGCAAGCAGGGGACCAGGAGATCGACAGACGAGCGCCGTAGGAGAGCAAAAGACCAGCGGACCAGGAGACAGAAGGACTAGGATACCAGGGGACCAGCGGACCACAGGACCAGAGGACCAGGAGACCGGAGGACTAGGGGACCAGTGGACTAAAGGACCAAGGGACCAAAGGACCAGTGGACCAGAGGACCAAGGGACCAAAGGACCAAGGGACCACATTACCAGAGGACCCGCAGACCAAAAGGCCAGGAGAGCAGCAGAAGAGGCCTATCAAGGAATATGTTTTTTTTGATTCGCTTTTTATTTTTTTTTGATCCTGTTTTTATTTTTTTTTGATGCTCTTTTTATTTTTTTTGATACCTATGCCCAGCTGGAGGACAAGAGTCTTTCCGGGGTGCCAAAAACCCACCCATTCCATGTGAGTGTTTCGGCGATTTTGGTCTTCTTTGGTCCTTGGTGCAAAGGCTTGATCCAAAGTCGGGCTGGAGCTTCCTCGAGATTGGGGAAGCACCGGCCAACGAACCTCATTGCTTGAGGGATCTGATCTCGCTCACGTTCTTTTTGTTCTCAGAGCGGTCATGGCACCCAGAGCCCCTGAATCCCTGGTACGTGGACCCCTCTATAGTAGATGTGTACTGCCAGCCGTGAGTTTCTCGACGTTGGAGGAAGTGTCTTCTTCTAACAGAAGCATTTTGACACTGCAACCCTTCAACTCTCCACGTCCCAGGGGCCAGTGGCTGCAACTGGCCGTGCAAGTGCAAGAGCTGTGACCGCAGCAGCACCCGCCCAGCGGCGGTCGCTGCATCCGCCAGGCATCCGTTCCTGGGCTGGTTCCGGTTCGCTGAGCGTGCTGGAATGGCCTGGAAAGGGCGGCCCAAAACGACATAAGGATCCTTCAACATATCAGGACTGCTCTGTCATCTTCCTAGGATGCCTTTGTACAGTTTTTATTGAGGGGCAGGTCCAAGGAAAAGAGATCCAGCATCAAAATGCCAGTTGCCACTGCTCCACCCCAAAATGGTACACATTTCTAATCATTTCTATGCAGACCATCTATGGCCATCTTCATCTGCCATGTTTGTTGTGGTATTTCTCGCTGACAAACGGTCATGGAATCATAGGGTGATTGATTAAACTTTCCTTTTACCAAGCATTTCTGACGCTACATGCACATGTTTGAGCAACTTCCAAACACCCCCGCAAGAAGATCCAGCAAGAGGAAGAACTCCGTCACCTTCCGAGCGGCTGTAGCAGCCTGTAGCGCGAATGTTGGAAGAAGCGCGCTGCACCTGAAGAAATCCGACCAGTAATCCGACCCTTTGGCCCCTTTGGCCCTTCCCCACGCGATGGTCATCCTGGAAATCCCCCAAAAACCAGCGACAAAAATCCCAATTCTACTCACTAAACTCCATGAAGCTTAGCTTGAAGGACTCATTTCTCCCCAGGACGTGTCGCTTGTCGCTTCCATGTCGCGACACGGACGGTGCATGGGGTTTTCAAGCGGCGAGCCAGTTCGTCTCTGAGCTTTCCACTGACTAAGGTGGTTGAGGATGTACCGCACTCAAAGGCCTGCCGGAAGGGGAGCAGTGGAAGGTTCGAACATTCAAAATGATGAAGGAGAAACCTCTGGTCATTCACCCTGGCCCAAAACAACAACATAATGGAAATCATAATGGTTTCCTCACACTATGCATCAACCAGTTCTTTTTTGCTTGCTACGCTGGTCATGGCCAACTTTGGGCCAGCAGGTGCGACGTGGCAAAAACCACCACATTTGGCAAGCTAAGATATGCACTCCGCAAAGATACACGTGCCGCACGTACTGTACCTACTAACGGGCGGCGGTGGCTCAAACATCTAGACATGTCTTGCCATCCGTGCTCATTCTGCTTTGCCGTCCGCCTTCGCCTCAGAATGCCAAGGTCCCCTGGCAAAAGGACAAACCAAGAGCCCAACATCTTCAGCCTTGCCAACCTCAACCGAAGCCGTGCCCCATGGGGTTCCGCCCCAAACCCTTCACTGAGCCTCCGGACAGGGGCAGTCCGTGCCTCCGGCGCCTGGGAGTAGGCGAAGGCGCCGCCGAAAATCAGCACCTGAGAGGCGCAGGCACCGAACCGGTGCGAATCGGTCGATCGAACGCGCTGACCGGTGGACCAGTGTGGGAAGATCGGATCCAAACGGAGGGACGAAGAGGTGCGAATCGGGACCTGGTGCGAATGTGGCTTTACCACGAAAGAAAGGGTTGACTGGAACCTGGGGCTGGACTGCTTGGGCACCTCCCTCTTGTTTCAAACCTTTGGCCTTGGAGTATGTTTGGAGCTATGTGGGGCTGGTGCATCCACACAAATCACTGCACACAAGGCAAAGCCATCTGTGTCGGAACATTGCAGTAACTCCACCAACGGCCAAGCTGCAGTAGCGATGCTGTGCAGGATGGTCCAGGGATTGCTGAAGATCACGATCGAAACCTCGCGATCGAACACCCGGTGGTCCAAACCCATAACTATCCAGCCATACAGGGCCACACACACACATGTATGTATACTGTATACTCTATATATAATGTATATATATCTATATACGGTATTATATGGTATTCTATCTCATGTCGTATATCTCATCTCTAGATTCATCCATAGAATGTAGATGTCTTTTGCTCGTTCCTGATGTGGAAATGGGTCAAGCAGGGTCCTTTGACGGACGGCCCGAAAGGCAGCAACCCGTGAATCACATGACGAGGTCTGCAGAAAACCTGGCCAACTGAGGTCCTTGAAGGGGAGCCACCATGGTTTAACCTCTGACTTTGCAACTTCGCCGTCTGAAGATTCAATGTGGCTCAGTGACACCGTGACACCTCGAGAAGTTGAGCGGCCTCAATTCCCCCAAGCTCGGCCTCCTTGAGCTCCGTGTTGTCTCTGGGTTCTTGTTTCTTTTTCGGCCTTCTCTCCCGCGTCATGGGCCGTTCCAGTCTGACCGGACCCTCCAACTTGCACGGAGGCTGACGCCGCTCACGGACCCCCATGCACATACAGCCGTCATGTCATGTTGTTGGATAGCAGCTCTTTGAACGTGTTGTAGTATGACTTGCGAAGCCTGAATGTAGACTCATGCAAACTCTGATTCTTAACTCCAACACCCCTAATTACCAGAATTACACTCTACATCCCTCTCCCGGCAAACATATCCAACACGGCGCTTTGGTGTGTTTGGTCTCCACCGCTTTCTCAGTGGCCAGGGGGCCACCACCGAAAGGAACTTCCGCACGGACAAGATGATGGTGAGCGCCAAAGGGGACACGCACGCAGAAGTGCGGAAGACGCCCTTCAGGCAAATGGTCTGGGAAACATTGTTGATGAACCTCAAACACGGTCCGTGAAGAACGTATCTGGAAGGGTCCGACAAAGACCGGAGCTGCGAATGGGCCAAAAATGAGTGAAAAGTCGGTGGTATAGCAAATCATTGTGGAATTTATCTTTCATCCTGGGGATGCTTCTTCTTGCATTTATCTTTTCAATCTTGGAACTATTATTGAAACTGTACGTGCTTCATGTCCCTAATCATTGAAGTCGCCCAAACTCAAACGCCCAAATCATTCTGTCTGGCAAACTCTCGTCCATTTGGCCGAGAATAAGGGCAAACTACAATAAATGATGTCCTTCTCTGACCTTCTCTATTGTCTATTCTTACAGGTCCTTTAGGTTCATGAAAGGGAAACAAATCCTTTCAATCTTGTTCACCTCATTGGGTCTGTGTGTGGGAGGCAGGGAAGTGGCACGCCCTTCTTGTCAAGTTGCAGCCAGGCCAATCGTGAGGGGACAGGCACCAAAGGCAGTGGTTCGGAGAACCAAGCAGACTCAGCTGCCTCAGGGATCACGGTGGGTGGTGATATTGAGGACCGTTTCCAAAACAAAGGACCACCACCGACACAACCTCGCAAGAAATCGAGGTCCTTCTTTTCATTGCTGAAGCCTGGTAGATGCCCCAAACCACTGTCCTTCCTGTCGGACGTATCGCTCTTTGGGCATCTGCCACGATGAACATGGATGAAGCACTTCCCCAGCCACCCCATCCTCAAATGTTTGAATAGATTCTGGGTGGCAAGCCGTGAATACTGAATAATACTAAGTTGTTTCAACAACCAAAACAAAATGAACCCCAAATATCACCAAATAATACGAATCTTTTTCTGGACGCTGATGTTCAGCCTTTCAAACCTTGATTCTGGACTTCTGATTTAGCTCTTGCATTTTCCTTTTAAACTTCATTTGGGCATTGCCATTTGTAGCCCGAAATCAACCGACAAAGGCTACCGCCACAAAGACTAACCCTCCACAAGCAGCCCACACCTTCTCAATTACTCCAGACCTCAAGAAATACTAAACAAGCATAAACAAACCCTGGCTGGTTCTTTTGGTGGTTTTCATGTCCTTTCCTTTCCTTTCATGTTCCTTTCATTCTCCTTGAATTTCCTAATTGTTCCTTTCATTGCCTTTTCTTTCCTGTCATGTTCCATTGATGTCAACTTCAACTCCAAATTCTTCTGGATGTAGGAATATTCAGAGTCTACACTTGATCAAGGGGGAGCTGTAATATGAGGTGGACAATTAAATTAAGGCACCACTCCGCCCTGCAGTGAGCCTATGGGTCAACAAAGTGTGCACCAAGATCTGACAAACAGTTGAACCACACGTCCAGTGAGAAAGTGACAAAGCCTCACCTCTGATCTTCGTCGCAATGCACACCCCTCCGAGACACTGGAATCATCTCAAGCCTGTCGCTGGTTGTTGAGCTCACCTTCCCACGAAGAAACACGCACGTCCCCACGTCCCTTCCCCATCCCATCTCTCACCCAGTTGCAGCCATAATGTCCTCCTTCAAAAAGAACAACGGCGCCAGGGCCTCAGTCGAAGCACGCGCGACGGTCTGCCTCGCGCCGTCCCACCAGTCCGACCGTCTTCTTCGCTTCTCCGTGCCGTTCCCCCGGTCGGCCCCGGAGCGGCCGAGGTGCCACGATGTGAGAGGTGAAGAGAAACTCGTCGCAAAGCTCGTTCTTTGGAGCCAAGTCCTCTCCCCCCCCCCACCCGGTGGTGCCCCGTGTGCGGTGCGGTGCGGTGCGGTGCCATTTCGGAGCCCTCGACACTGACGAAGAAAATCGGACTGGGTGGAAAGGACATGCAAGCAAGATAAGAAGTATTAGGTTGGTCGGTACTTCAAAACAACCTCAATACAACCGGCAAACCGGCAAACATGTCTTATGATGGGCTTAGCCATGGAAACTGATGAGCTGGTTCGGCAGTCTTGCTGGCAATAATGTGATATTCTATGATATTCTACAGTGTTGCTTTCGATTACCTTTAGCATGCTGGCCTATCACCTGGGAGTTGTGAAGCGCGTTTTACTCTCAGCATTTGGGAGGCAGGCGCATCTCTCTCGCCGAACTCAACGGTTGGTGGAAAATGGCGCTGGATGAGGTGAGGACTGGCAGTCCAAAGCCGTCGTCCGTCTTGAGTGGGACAGCTTTGTGCGGAGGCCCTTGCTGCCCTTGCTGGCTGGGCAGCAAAACACAACGGATCCTTGGCGTTAGCTTTCAAGTGCCGCCCAGATTTTCCACTGAACAAATTGTCCCAACGGCCATGGATGCAACAAAGGGCCCCAAGGAGGCCCCAAAAAGGGTGCTGCAAATCGACGCTCCCCTGCCGCGAGCAGTGGGTGATTTGCAGGTGGGCAGGGCTTGAGAGCATCCGTGCCTTGTAAATGCGGTAGTAGTTGGACTGCACGTTGCCCAGAGAAAACCTCGACTCGGAGTGGCGAGTTTAGGGTGAATGAGCGCTTCAGCCTACAACGTTACGTCAGCTCTTGGAGGTTTTTTGCAAGTTGTTGTTTTCCCATGAAAAGCACACAAAGCAAACACAAAGACGTATAGAACTTCTACGGTCTACAGCTACTCGAACACTTGAGGGTGGATCAACTGCGAATCAGCTAGCCGCCAGCCCCTCTTTGTAATTAACATGATCATGATGTCAATCAGTCAAAACATGGTTTACTCTGGACATGCTGTAGTATCTATCTAAATCAAAATTCATCTCCGCTGGCATGTGCGTTGGCACTGCGGAAGCCCGGTGCACCCAACTCACCTGCCCCGCGCCCCGCGCCCACCTTGCAGAAGCTGAACAAAGGCCAGCATGCCCAGTCCAATGAGCCAGGTACCGATGTCCACCTCCGAGGTGGAGCCGATCTCGGCCTGCGCTGAGCCGCCGAGATGAATCGGTCGTTCACCAAAAACACATGGACATGTCCAGCCGTTCATGTGTTATTTTGATCAAACCTGTAATCGTGCAAGTTGATTTTGCACCTTGATTTTGGACCTTAAATACTCGGAATGAGTCCAATGGTCTCTTCTTCTCGGGACTGAAGACATGGAGGTGCAACACGAAAACATCCGCACATCGATTTCGGCACTTCTGACGTCCGGGTCGCCGATGCGGTTGTGCCGCAGCCGGTGCCGTCGCAGGAAGGGGATTGGAGGGTCTTCATCTCCTGCCATGGGAGAGAAAGTGCCAAAGAATCAC